AATAAATAATCTAGTTTACAATTTTTTTATTTATGATGGTTTTTAAGAGCTTTTAAATTTGGTATCGTCTAAGTTTCTTGACTTAAGTTTTCTAGAAACTAAACAATTGTAAGAGTTAAAGAAACAAACGAATAGCTCAATTTTTTAAAATTATTTATTGAATACTTCTGTCATGATTATACATAATGTCTAATACGTCACGACGAAATTATTATTTTAAATTAGTTGTACCTGTTTTACAGAGTGTATACACACCTTTGCACTTATAGATTCAAATGGACTATGTTCTAATCAACTATGAAATTGCTCACTCCACACATACTCAGTAACATAATTGATGTGTTCGTGAAAGCATTATAATAAAATTCGTGTTCGATAAATAGCGATTAGTCCTCGTTAAAAGGGATCAATATTTGTTAGAGGGTAGTTTATAAAAGAAGGTATAAATACTTGATGTACCCACCATGACATTTAATTTTTTACAAACTTTTTACTGGCTCTTGGTAATTAGGTATCTTACATAAAATACTACTAGTATCTAGCAATTATTAATAATAAAAAGATGGACAACATTTAGTAATAAAAGAAAATATGGACGTGTTTCGGGTTTTTTAGTTGGTTTCTTCTATTCTACAATACACCTTACATAGTAGAACGTAAGTTGAATGTGTGCAGTTATTTATGTATATTTTTGTTAATATTTTCGTGCCATAAGATGATGTTGTTAAGTGGTCTGTATATAATTAATGATTGTTTGTTAATATTCTTTAGAAGTTGGCTGTAGATGTTTTATTTATTCTAGCGTTACTCAATGGATATTTTATTTAATATATTCATTATTGTTCCATTTGCTTATACGCGATATATTAAATGAAACTAGAAACAAGTTTTTGTTGTTTATTACCTTAAAAATTTTGTAAAAAGAATAATCATTCAACTTAATAAGCGCACAAGAGTAATGGTTAAATATGCATCAAAATTAAGCAACTATTTTTGCCCAGAATGCGGATACGTAAAAAAGAAGTTATTTTTATTTATCCGATCGTTTGATTCACAGACAAATAATTATTTTCTTCTCGGTTGAAGGTTAACTAGTTTTAATGTAATTAATGTGGTTTACCGCCTGTTGTCATAGTCAACGTGTAAACAATATTGTGTTCTGATTTTATCGGGGAAAATGCATGCCTAAAATGCACTTTTGATATCAGCCGGAATCCAAGGTTTTGTAATAGGTGCATTATAATAATCAATTAATTTCTTCTTGTGTCGGCTAGGAAAGTTGGAAATCGTAAAATACTTTCGGTTACAGTGAAGTGCTATAAAGGAAACAAAATAGTTAACACTATGGAAGGTAGAAATATTGTGAAATGTGCTAATACTTAACTAAACGAAAGCAAAAACTATGTATGGTTTCACGAGACCGTTACCAAAGGGTAGAATAAATTGTATACTAAGGGATTAAAACGACGACTCTATTTATAGTTAAAAATAACAATTAATCTTTTCAGTCACAAGGGTATGTGTTCTTTGATTCTCACATTAATACCTCTCCCACTTTACCCAATGTAGAAGGCATCATAAGTTTTACACTGAATTCTGTAAAAAACACATTTTTTGAAAATCCCTACCCTTAGTTAATATTTTCATAGTTACATTAGTTGTTTTATCTCTTCCAAACAAGTTTTACCAATACATAAATTGTATAATAAGTGACATGTATTTTTTATTTGCTTTGACGCTAAAAGCTTATCTATAACAGATGGTTTAAAACCATTATTTACTGCTATATGTTTTGCAATATTAATCTCTTTTATGAAATTAACGTCGATAAAATATTCTTTTAATCTTTTTAATACCGAATGAAGAACTGAAAATAATTGTCGCGTGACGGAAGCTTTATAGGATTTACTGATAACTATTTCAGTTATAACATCAGATACATCAGAATTAGGATTGTACGTGTTTACTAATTACAAAAACTCAACCGAGATTGATAACACGCACCTAGTCAAATTGCATATATCTTTCTTCAGTTACTTTAGATTGTGTGGCTAAGTAGAGGCACAATTCTAACCCTATAGGGGTAAATTTAATGAGCATATCTAAAGATATTACGCGGTTTTTATTGATCATGACAGTTTTAAAATGTTACTATTCGATGTAACACGAGCTAACGTCTACATTAACGTATTGATTATATAAAATATTAATAGCTGCCCCTTTTAAGTTAAAGTGAGCATGATATTACACATTAATTGATGCTAAAAAGGATTCTCTTTACCATCATATGTAAAAAGACAATAAACTCACAAATTGACTAACGATAAGTATTGAAAACAAACAAAAATTATTGGTTGAAATTCGTCACCAAAATAGAAAATGATAGGTGCACAAAATTTATAAATTTCTTTGTTGAAATTAGTGTTCTATTTCGTTATTCATTTATATGAACACACATTTAAAAATCATTTAAGTACTAATAAAAAATGATTTAGTTCTTATATTTGTTGCATAACGTATTTACGAAAAATATTAAAATGCTTATTCTATCTCATGATTAATCTTTACCAGTAAAACCCGCTTTAAATCTGATATCTGTAAATTGTCAAGCAGGTATTGACTCTCAATACCTGCTAATCGCGTATGTATTTACCTACTGAAGGTTTGACTAAATCCTTTTACAAAAAAATACCATACCTACTTAATTAAATTGTTTGCGAAACCGGACAAAAATTTAATTTTTTAACTGTTTTAAACGGAAAATCTTTTCTTCGGCAAAAAAGGCAAACATAATTCAAACTATGAATTTGTGCAGATTTTCTGCTACATTACCGGACCTATCAGCTTTTGGTTCTTGATTTTACTCGTTCGGATGATAAATCTGTTCCTGTAGTGATTGATAATCCTTGCCGCTGGCAATCAATCAATAGATAGGCAATTTATAAATATTTACCGTTTATCCGATTCTAGCAAAATCATGACGCCTAGTGTAATAGTTCTTCCTGTATACAAGCGTTAAATGATGCTCCAATTATACTTTTGTGAGAGGTTGTAAAAAAGTCGTTAAACCACTGGTTATTTTCTGTGTCTAAAAGTTGCATAATAATACACATACGGATGTGCTTCAAAAGAAAAACATGTTTTCGTATTACAGCTAATACATTTCACTTAATTAGTTTATATTTTAGGTAATGGAAAGATGAAATGGTTTCGCTGATTTAAAAATGATTACTTAAGTGTTGTCTTTGTAAACAAATTAATATCGGTGTATGAATTGATAGAACGGCAGTATTATAGGAAAATATATTTTCAATAATGCAAATCAGCATTGCTCTCGATTGATTAAATTTATAATCACATTTAGTCTCACATCGTTACATTTCATTATTTTATTCCTTAAGTATTTTAATGTGTTTCTGTGATTATCACTTTTAATTTCGTCTGTGATTTTTTTCAACTTAATCTGTGATTTATCTTTATTTATGCTAAACGTTCTTGAATTGAAAGACTTGTTGAACAAATAAA